TCTCTCTCTCTCTTCTTCTTCTTCTTCTTCTTCTTCTTTTCGTCTTTGCGACCTCAAACACAGACAGACACTCCCATCGCCAAAACCTACGCTACAGCAGATGGCATATCAGCCACAAAAAAAGGAAACTCTTTAGCCGGCGTTTACCGACACCCAACATACCCGGACATCCCCTTTGCCCTTTGACCCCGTTTGTTCTGCAGCGCGGCGCTCTCCTGCTGAAGATTTACCCGTTTACTTCTCAGATTATTGTTCCTTGATCTAGTATTATTATGGCTGCGGTCTGTTGTTGTGCTCTTTACACTGTACAGTATATTTATTAGTCATCCTGATATCTCCTTCTTTCTTTTTTTTTATAACGAGCATGTCTCTTATAACCCGTGGCTGTTTTTTCTGCACGACTAAAAGGCTGCCTGTGTGAAATGAACAAACTGCACTGCGTGTCTCACAGAGGAGAGACCAGTGGGTGTGTTTAATTATCCGTTTCGTTCGTTAATCAATGGAGCTTTTGATTTTTTTTTTTTATTCATCTATCTCCTCCTTTATTCCTCTGGAGTGTATTTGACCCGACGCCTCTGACCCCTCTGAGCCGCTCTGTGAGACAGTGAAAACCTTGCAGCATGCTAAGATATATCTGTCGTTCTTGACTGACTCTCTATGTACTGAACTTTGCAAGTTAACTACTGCGATTATGACAATGGTTGAAACTATAGTATCACACTGTTTATGTACATTTTCCAGTTTCATCGTGGTGACTTGACTACAGTTACACTGTAGATGGTATTTAATTGCATGATATTCCGAGTTAATAACATTGTTAAGTTGGGTGTTATCGTGCATTTTGTTGATTTTTCTCTTTTTTGGACTGAACTGTCGGTGAGCTATGATCTGTTGCCTCTGGGCTTTGTACGTGCATAAACTTTAACTTTTTGTGTTGATATGATAGTGTAGTATACGAGGATTCGGGTGAGGATGACGGCTATACGACTGAAAATGCCTTTATGTGAAGAAGTTGCTGGATCCAGATCAGTTTTTAAATCTCTGTTTTACTCTGTGGGAGACAAAAGCCAAGATACTTATTCTGCTTTTTTATTAGAAACACATTGAAGTGAACATAGAGAATATATTTATCTTAAAAGGTTCTTCATTTAGAAAGAAAAACAATGCATTGGTACCAGGGACATAAAGCCAAAAAGTGTCAGAACAACTTTATCAACAACAAATTTAAAGACACAGAATAATCCCTAATTATTTGAAATAAAGAAATAAATATATATCCTAAGTGTTGCCCCAAACACAGAGGTCTCTGTTGAGTCAAAACCAAGAACTGTGTGAGAAGTCAAAGAAGCTTTCTTAACATCACCAGCTGGTTTATGCACTACAAAAACTCACATCCAAGTACGTGGGTTCGTTCAACTTCTAAAATATGTAATTACACTTCTCTTGACAAGTCCAGGTAAAAATCTTCTTTACAGATATACATCACAAACTATGCGGCCTAAATTGTCGGTAGTAAGTAAAACAAAAGCAAGGGGCAAGAAAATGTTGCTCATTGTCTTGAAATTTAATTATTAATGTCAATACACTCTACAAATAAACAATCTTTATTGACCAACAGAAATGAATTAAAATAAACCTTAATAACTAGCACATTTTAGATAAAATATCCTCTTTTTTAGGACAGGCACAACCCTGACTGGTGTTACTTTGAAGCTCTCATGGTGTACTCATCCTCTCCATAAGAGGGCGCCAAATCCAAACAACACAAAGAGTAACCTGTGAGTCATTAAAGGGTTCAAAGGGCTTGACTTTTGAGTCTGTGCTAAGCTGGGCGTTGGTGAGAGTGGGACCTCAAACACTGATAAGCAGAGCGACTGTGAGCGAGATAAAGACTGACTAACACAGAGAGTCATCCCAGGCCTTCAATAACTTCATTTTCAAACACTTTTAACCTTTTTTTAACTTGACTGTTTCGGCTCACAAAATGTTACAACTCCTAATTTTTTTTGGTGTCAAGATCTCACAATCCACACAATTTTAGTCCTGAAAATTGAAGTTTATTTATCATGGATTGTTGTCCAAAAAAGTTGCAACATCAGCAGTTTTGATTATGAAGCGTATTGATAAAGATGAATGAGTAGCATTACAAAGCTACAAATGGAGCCGGACCAAAACAAACAACTAATGCAAAATCTACTGCGAACATATACATATTTGCAAGATGATATTCATAATAAAGCCTGCATTTTAGTCCCATTAACAAACTTGGGTGCATGAATATTAATCAGACAGACACTGCAGGATCTGTGTGGTGTTTTCATTTTCACCGGTTTCCTAAAAGTGTTAATTCTTTAACAGGATTATTGGTCACTCAGTGTCATTGTCCTCTGTGGCAAACGATCTTTATTCCACTAATAATGACTTGGCTGTGACACAGAGAAGACAGAAGAGCCTCAGTAATTATTTTCTCAGTTGAATGATCAGGAGACGACTCATGAGAATGCTGCCGTGTGTAAAACAGAGATTTCTTTTTCTACGTTTATTATACTGATAACGATGAAGATGATTCCTCTCTCTGGTGTGCATTTCAAGTCTTATCAATATTCAAATGTGATCAGATGTAATCAGTGTGTGAACCAATAAAATGACAATGCAGAGAGCACCTTAGTCATCTCTCTCTCTCTCTTATCTCCACTCACTTGTTTGTTTGTTTGTTTGTTTGTGTGCAGTGATTTTATCTGACATTTACTTTAATCTAGTCTGGGCAGAGTCAAACCATTTCATGGGCTGACAGGGGGAATCAGGGAACATGGGGCTGGTAAGACTTAATGAACTCACAAAGACACAGGCGGGAAACATAAACTAACTAATAACTAACCAACTAATAAACCTACAAATCAAGTACACGCCTTTAGGCTACACTACACCACTAAAGTTCACAGCAGAGACTGACTAAGTACAACGACAGGGGGCCAACATGGTGAATTCTTACAGCTGGAGTGAAAAAATGTCCGTCTTTATGCAGATGATACACCGGTTTCTCACTTTGTTGAAATACTAACTTTTTAGTAGAACAAATAATGTTAATATACTAGACAACTATCTGTTAACCTATGATGCTCCGATATGCTGCAGACAGTGCTGTGAGGATAGTAAACTGTGGAGTAAGATCACACTCTGCTGGACAAACTATGATATGACACCTTGCCTGAATCACCCAAGCATTATCTTCTGAATTAAATGTTGTGTTTAAAATGTACAAGTATAAATAAAAAATGTCTGTTTTTATGCAGATGATACACTGGTTTTGGGCTATGTTGAAATACTAACTTTATCATAGCATAAGGAACATTATTATATTTTGTCATTTAATTTAAGTGTGGATCACTGTCTGTTACGCGCTGATGGGTTAGGGTAAGTGCTGTGAGGATTGTAAACTATTAGAGCACACTCTGCTGGACAAACTATGCTATGACACCATGTCGAATCACCTGAAGCATTATTTTTCTGAAGTAAATGTTCTGTATAAAATACATGTTTATTGCCATATTTTAAAAACATTTACACCGATACAGATTTATCTGTAGTAGGCACAAATCGGCAGATAGTATTGGACAATCTATATATATGTTGGTATTGATTCTGCACTGGTAAATAGGTACTGGTAATAAAGTTATAATACCATCCAGGGTTACACCCTGAACTGTTCACCAGTCAATCACAGAGCTGACATATAGAGACAGACAACCAGCCACACTCACATTCACACCTACGGACAATTTAGAGTCAGCAGTTAACCTAACGAGCATGTCTTTGGACTGTGGGAGGAAGCCGGAGTACTGCATAATAAGTCAATAAAGGCTAATAAAATGATACAGTACGTTAACAACTTGTACAATAAACAGGCCAAGGACTTATTTTTGTTTTGCAGCCCGGTTCAAATCAAGAAACATATAGAAACAAAAAGCACCTTGAATATTTCAAACTTAAATCCCAAGTTCATCAGGTAACAACAGGAAACTGAGAATGTAAATACAAGTCCATTAAACCATAATTGTGAGGACAAAGGTTGACATTTATTGCTCTGTTGTACTTTGAATAAAGTACATCAAGCTCTGCAGCAGAACATATAAATGTACCTGTTGTTAAAGACACCAAAAAGAGGTAACACTAAAACTGTGTTGTCCAGAGTTCAGGAGGTCAGGGGGCTGAATAATTACCTTTATAGTAGATTTCTTAAGTCTGAACAATCATAAAAACCCTTTTTCTGCACTGAACTGTGTCTTGATTTTGAAACAGCATGACATAGAGTCTCAAGGTGAGTTCATACATAGCAGATAAAGAGTTGCTTCTTGTCAACAGGCAAGGCAGGCACCTGCTTAGTTGCGGAGTGGCAAGTGCAGAGGATAAATATTAATTTAGTGAAGTTCAGTGTCTGTGGGCGAGGCCCTGTTAAACTGTCTGATCAAGTTCCAAAGTTAATTTAATATTTTAGTATAGAATAGAATAGAATAGATGCTTATTGCCATTTGCACAGGTACAGGACAGTACAGGTACATTGGAATTCTTGTGCATTTCTCCCTGAGTCAGCTTCTACAAAAAAAGTTAAAATTATATATAAAATAGAATAGCATAAGTTGTAGAGTACAAAAAAAGTAAAAGTAAAATATATATATAAAATAATTCACATTTTGTTTGTAGAACCGATTTTATTAGCAATAATTAATGATTGTTCAAACAAACATATATTCAATTATAAACGTTTTTTCTATCATGCTTTCACTACATTATATTCTTTATTAATTTTTAATATACATTTTTCAAACTTTTTAGGATCGCGAAACTAAATTATCGTTCAAGAATTGCCGGTTCTTTTTTTGTTAGTTTTTTATTACTTTCAATATTTTCTGACGCAACCCCGCTGTTGTTGATCTGATGCATGGATCTAACGTCACCAACGTCATGACGCAGCACCAACGTCAGATCAGCACCTAAGTGATTAGACAGTGCCGGAGCGCGAAACTCCCGCAGCTGCCAGCTGATCGTTGACTCCACTGCAGGCTTCAGAAGAGCGTCGACAAGGCTGCGGAAAAGGTAACGAACCGGAAAGACACATTTAAGCAAAAGTTTACGCTCATTTCCTAAGACAAATAAACGTTATTTCTGTTTGTTTATCGTGTTTATAAAAAAACGTTTCGAGCGCTGGACGGTTGGTGTTTTGTGTGTTTTGTGTGTTTTGGTGTTTTGAGTGTTTTCCTGATGTTGTGAGGACATTTCTGTCCCAAACATTACACTGCGGGGACAAACTTTAACGATATTCATGACATTTCACGGTTCATACTCAGTTAAAGTCTAAATATGTGTTATTGTGTTAGGGTTTGAGTATTGGTAGTAAAAGTTAAGGTTATTAAAGGAATAATGCTTTAAGTTATACATGTAGGTGACAACTTTAGACTAAGTGTGTTTACACTGTTAATGTGTTTTAGGTTTCTTTAAGGGGCTCAAGTTGTGATCTATTTGCTATATTTAATATATACTCATGTCCTGTAACATGATTTTTTCCTTGTTTGGAAAATTTGAGCATTAAAGCCGCATTCTGCCAGACTCTCCCCATAGGAACCTTTCTGGTGCACCTTACAGAGACCCGGGTCCATATTAAGTTCCTTGGACATTATTTAACCTCCGAAAAACTCCGATAATTTCCTGCTACAAAAAAAAAGAAAACATGATGGAAACAGTGAAAATGCTGAACTCCGGTCTCTAAAAGGGGGTTCACATATACCTGATAATTTATTTTGGCTTTTGCATTTATTTGGAGAAGGAAAACTGAAGACACATGCCGAAGCTGTGTTTCTGACAGTGATGTTATTATTTACCTTCACTCAACAGGATCCAGTGAGCTGTTGGTAAGTCACCAGAACGGGCGGAGCAGGAGCCGTGAAGAAGCCAGCCTCACCGGTTCAGTTGGACAGAAAGAGGAAGTGTTGCTGAGAAGCCTGAGGAATCTGCTCGTCTGGGAAACTGCGTTCTTCTTCCAGGAAGGAAGAGGAAGGAGGAACTGTGGCTGACCTGCAGCCATGCACCGCTTAAGGACTACAGTGTCAAGGCTTCGGCCTTTAACCGCTGCACAGACAGCACAGAGCTGGTCACAGCACAGACTGTTGGTGACCAAAAGAGGCTTAAGGACGTTTCAGCCTGTGAGGCACCTCAAGACATCGGTGGCCTCTGAGCCCTTTCTTAATGGAACCAGCTCTAACTATGTGGAGGAGATGTACTATGCATGGCTGGAGAATCCCAAGAATGTGCACAAGGTACAATGCTTTTCTGGTTGTTTTTGACACCTGAGTTATATATTCTTGGAAACTGGAACGTGCCTTCAGGTGCAGGAACAGAGGATACAGGGACAGAGACAGAACAGGTTTGGTGCTGCTACACATTTCGACACTGAAGGGAAATTCAGTTATTTTCAACATACTTACGGGTCTAAATAACTAAAAGGTAAAACATTTTTGGAAATTGCTTCAGTAGTTTTCTTGAGCCAACAGCTGTGTGTATGTACAAGTGCATCAACTAGATGAGCTTGTTTTTGCCACTGGCACGCTCATATTGTTAGAGTGTCAGGCAAAAATGCAGAAAGACAGACTTTTTAAAAATAAAGGTATGAGGCTTTTTTTTTTTTTAACCAGAAACAGTTTTGTATCGTTGCTCTCTTTACAGCCTCCAGACTTCGTTGGCTAAATTAGTTTCCCATCTGCACTCGGCACTCCTGAAAATTTCTGGAAGATTTCAAGTAGTCTTTCCCTGAAATCCTCCTGAGTGGGTTGTTCAAACCTCCTCTTCACAGCAGGAGACTATCCCTGTTGGACGGGAGAGGTGGGGGGGAGGATCTCGGGTGGCAAGATTAGTTTTTTTATTTGGCTTGTCTGTTTAGAGTGTGCAGTCGTTTTAAACATGAACCCCTTGGAAGAATGCATGAACTGAAAACACTGTTGGCAAAGTTGTTTAGAAGTGTGGTATCTAAGCTCAGCATCTACTTTTCAGTTCCGTCTGTCCAACGTAATTCACCCACCAAATGAACCGTTGATTGGATTAACAGTTCTTGAGATATCTGTCTAAAGTTCCTTAGTTTTTAGTTAGATGCCCAGTCCGATTCTCCTCGTACAGTTTGTGTTCCTTTACTCTAAGTGCACTCTCACCTTCTTCCTGAAGGGCAGGAAAAGATGAACACGAGGACTCAGATTTGAACAGACACCTGTAGGGTAAAGGTAGAAACAGACCCTGTTTGTATAATATATGTGTGTGTGTTTGTCTTTGCATGTTTGAATAGTGGAGCAGCACAGTAGCAGACTGAAGAGTGACGGATGGTTCAGCAGGAGGAATCCACTGTGAATGGCTTCCCTGCAAATAATCATACCTTTATTTATAAAGCGCTTTAGAAAACAAGACACAGCACACTTTACATACAGTAAGAAAGCAAATAAACAACAGTGGATACATATCATTAAACATGACTCATAGCAAACAATAAAACAATAAAACGTTGGAAAGAAAGTCTAGATATGGGAGTTTAAAAAAGAAGACATTAGTGGCGTCACAGATCCCAAATCTCAGGGTACAATTAGATTACAGATCTTTTTATCAAGGATTGAATCGTGGGAGTTTTTCGGGATCGACCCCCCAAAAAAAGAAATTTACTGTAAAATTCAGAATAAAAGTCGCGCCAGTCTATAAGACGCTGTCCATTCAGGGGGGTTTCTTTGAGAAAAAAGGTTTTAACTGTCTTCCTTTGTGAACATTTCTACTGTGTTAGTATTTTGGTAAAATACCAGTGTAAAACTGCCAACTTTCTTGATGACAACATAGGTAAGAAAGTGCGTCTTATACACCCGATTTTACGGTTATTAGTTATTCTAATACAACCACCCTCAATCAGTCCAGCACTCCACAAAACATGTGATGATGGTGGCTGTACTCTCGGTAATGACGCCGTGTTTGTCAGCATTTTCTACTGGTATGTAGGACGCAGCCAACTTCTGGGAGGTATTAAAAGTGTGTCCTATAGTCAGAGAAACGCTGAATATGCAACCTTCAAGCATTCATACATAACTCTTCCAAATGGCGGAAGAACTTATGTAGCACATTAAACTTTGCTTTTATTGGTCCATTAAGAACAACCTCAGATTTACAATCATTAACTTGATAAACATCTGCAAACAAGTGGATTAATCTGGAACACACATTTTAAAGATGTTGTAAAAACGTTCACTCAGAGTGTGAGAGGTAGCAGATTTTGTTTCTGTTTTTAATGCCAGAATGACTCAGGTGTGTGTTTTAAACACTGTTTATCTTCTGTGTTGCTTCTATCAGGGCGGCTTGTTTTCACTGTTCAGTCGTTATCGGTTTGTGTGTTATCATGCTGCCAACTGTTGATATCTTTAAGTGTTGCATGTTTGTAGTAAAACTGTTGTCACGCTGCACGTTTAAGCTGATATCCACCACAGAGGAAGCTTCCCTTTTACCTTTAATCTCTGAATCCTCTCTCAGGAGTAAGCCAATTACTTTCCTCTCGAGTTAGAAAGTGAGAAACGAGGTCAAACACAAGTGAACCAGAGTTTTATTTAGCCACGAGTGACACGGTTCTAGTGCTGGCAGCACTTCATTGTCGGTCGGTCCATCGTTTTCATCCAGATAGAAATAACTCAACAACTACTGGATAGATGACCATGAACTTAAACCTCACGCCATAGTCTGTATCTAAGAAGCCACTGGGTCTACTTTTTCTACCTGTAATTCTTTTTTCAGTTCAGCAGGTGAGGGTTGTCACAATACCAGAATTTTAAACTTTGATACTCCACCATTATCAACCAAATATTGATATTTGTTTCAATACCACAAAAAAAAAGAAGTCCAAGGCACTAGGGCTGGGTATTTCCAACAACCCTACGATATAGAGGCCACAATACATATCGTAATATACATTGATTTTGGATCATGACCGTGTCCGGGACAGAATTCACTACAACAGCTGTTCTTTATTGTTGAGAATAACAGCAGAGGCTACAACTTAAAACATTTCAATTCAGGTCCTCAGAGATCCTAGATTCATTGAAATAGTTCAGTCCCAGAGCTGTGGCTGTGGTGTTATTGTGGAATGCACTGTAGGTCAATTGGCCTTTAAAAACTGTCACCTCAGCTTTGCAGCCATATTGATTCTGTAACATCTGCATCAATACTTTTCCAATGTATTTGGAAGGAGCACATGATAATATTTTGCTGTATCGATTTTTTGAGCGCAGGGATTTTTTATGCCTTTTTTGAGAGATAGGACAGTGTATAGAGCATGCTGACCTGTTTAAATCAAAGAACATTTGACCTGGATTCACCTTGTATTACATAAGCTGCAGACATGTTGAAGTAGCCTTTACATTAGAATATAAAACAAATGATCTGATTTGTTGAAACATGTTGAATAACTCGTCTCTTTTTTTTTCTTCCTGCAGTCCTGGGATATATTTTTCCGTAACGCTAACGCTGGAGCTCCTCCTGGTTCGGCCTATCAGAGCCCTCCTCCCGTCGGTGGGTCTTCTCAGGGACTAACCAGTATCCAGGCTCTGGTGGGGGCTCAGCCCAACGTGGAGAAACTGGTGGCGGATCATCTCGCTGTGCAGTCACTAATAAGAGCATACCAGGTAAAATACAGACACACCTGAGGTTTGTATTTGTAGAAGATGATGCTGTTTTCTGACAATTAATGTGCTTCAGGATGAAATGACCTTAAACAATCGGCTTAAGGCGGCTGTGGCTCAGTTGGTAGAGTCGTTGCCTCTTAACCGGAAGGTCGAGGTCGGCTGTGTCCTTGGGCAAGACACTTAACCCTGCATTGCTCCCTCTGCTTCAGTGGTGGTGTATGAATGGATTAGTGTTGTACTAACTCTGATGTACGTCGCTTTGGATAAAAGCGTCTGCTAAGTGAATTGTAGTAGAATTGTAGAAACAATCATATCAGAGGAACACATGACATTATCTTCAGTCCTCTGGTATCAGAACGAGATAGCCTTCAGTGACTTGATGAGAACAAACTGACG